GTTAAAGTCATCTATTGATAAGATAAAAATGCAATTAATGAATGGTCAAATTCAAAAACAAATGGGTTGGACATGAATCCAATATGGAAAATATAGTAGAAATAGACAAATAAGTATAGAAACATCTCCATAAATTAATCAATCTGCTAAAAATGAACCAATTAGGTAATAAACAGTGACAATATTTTAGATTTCTTTTCGTCCCTGTTAGATTCTCAATGGTTTTCTTTTTGAGAATAGAATAAAGAGTTAAGGGCATCTATAAATAAGATAAAGACTAAAAAATGGATTGGAAATTAATCCAATATGGAGAATATAATAGAAATAAACAAATAAATATGAAAACATCCCCATAAATTGATCAATTCAGATAAAAAAATGTAATTAATAAATGGTCAAATAAAAAAAAATGGTTAGAAATTAATCCAATATTGAAAGTATCATAGACAAATAAATATAGAAACATCAATGTGCTAAAAATGCAGCAATTAGATCGTAAACAGTGACAATATTTTAGATTTCTTATCATCCCTGTTAGACTCTCTATTGTTTTTTTTATGAGAATACAATAGATAATTAAAGGCATCGGTGAGTAAGGTAAAAATGCAATTAATAATTGGTCAAATTCTAAAACAAATGGGTTGGAAATGAGTCCACTATGGAAAATATAATAGAAATAGACAAATAAGTAGAGAAACATCTCCATAAATGAATCAATGTGCTAAAATGCACCAATTAGATCATAAAAGGTGACAATATTTTAGATTTCTTCTAGTCCCTGTTAGATTCTCTATAGTTTTTTTATGAGAATACAATAGAGAGTTAAAGGCATCTATGAATAAGATAAAAAATGCAATTATTAAATCCTCAATGGAAATTAATCCAATATAGAAAATATAATAGAAATAGACAAATAAGTATAGAAAGATCTCCATAAATTAATCAATGTGCTAAAATGCACCAATTAGATCATAAAAGGTGACAATATTTTAGATTTCTTCTCGTCCCTGTTAGACTCTCTATTGTTGTTTTTATGAGAATAGATTAGAGACTTAAAGGCATCCATGAATAAGATAAATAATTAAATTAATAAATGCTCAAATAAAAATAAAAATAGTTGAAAATGAATCCAATATCAAAAATATCATTAATTTAGGCAAAGGGGACATGATTATAGGTGGAAATCTAAATAAAGTTGTCACTTTTTCACAATTAATAAATGCTCAAATAAAAATAAAAATTGTTGAAAATGAATCCAATAGCTAAAATATAATTAATATAATTAGGCAAAGGGGATATGATTATAGGTGGAAATCTAAAGAAAGTTGTCACTTTTTCACAATTAATAAATGCTCAAATAAAAATAAA